AATACTAAGTCATCTCTTCCTTTCGGCCCATGTTCTCTAGTTATAGGGAATCTCTCTGGATGGGCAAAGCATCTATTCGAGTCGATTCGATAAAGATGACCAAACTTTTTACATGGTGTGTCTAAAGAATTTCCATCTTTATCTACTTCTTCTTTACATAGTTCAGCTCCTAAGTTAGATATATGTGAGTCAAGACTTCCCGGCATGAGCTGAAGAGAATCCATATATCTTTGATTTCCAATATCAAGAGTAAGATAGTTTTCCATATTATGGGGGATGGCACTTATCTTTTCTTTACTTACTCATCCCATAACTTGGGAAATAAGATGAGCATCAAATTTACCTAGATTATGGAAATGAATTGGTAATTTAAACTGCTCTGGTTTGATTCGTAGTTGGAGATTACAAATACTATGGGCTGGACCTCTATACTTACCTGTAATATGATCATGATCTCGAACTTTTTTTAGATTATCTTCTTTTCCAAATACTTTATTACATATCCAACATTCCCTAGCTAAATTATGCGTTTTTTCTTCTTGACTAGTTAACTTTTTCATTGGTTCTCCAGACCATCTGAGTCTACAATAAATTGTATTTGCAAGACGGTACATTATTCCTATATCTACTCCGAGGGGATCTCTTCTATAAGCTTGGTAAAGACTTTTTAATTCATTCTTAATTCTAGTTAAATTCTCTTCATCATACTTTCTCATCGTCACACTTAAATCCCAATCTTGATAGGTAAAGAAGATATCAAGAAATTTCTTGGTTATTAATTCTGGTAAGATTTTTGATTCTAATAATTTGCATAAAGCTTTCGCACTTTTTCGAATTACATGTCCTCCTGCGAGAAAGTCTTGACATTGTTCAGCTTCCTTTTCCATTGCTTTGATAAATTCTCCAGCTGGATCATCACCCCTGATTTTTACTGGTACTCTAGTTTTGCCGTCGCTACGAGTAATTATGTAATTAAATCCTATAACTTTGTGTTCCTGAATTGCTGTTGTTTTCGATCCTTGATTCTTTTCAATAATAGTAGAGAGAGTCTCTGCATCTGCTTTGCAAGTAAAGGGTGCATCTAACATTTGTTCATATCTTCTGAATTTATATATATTTTTACCTTCCTCTGGCATTACAGTTCTTTGCACTGGAGTATTGATCCCTTCACAATCTTCCATATGTATAGCATCAATTTTGGGATCATGAGTTCGGTGGCTTACACAATAATCACAAACATATAACTTACCATTGTGTTTAGTTGTATATCCAGCTAACTTTCCTAACCCATCTCTTCCTTGGATTAAACAATAATGCTGAGCTGGTTCTCCTGTCTTTGGGTCTTCTCCTGTTATCAATAAAAGTCGAATCAAGTAACGACCCTCACATAATGCTATATCTGTATGATCACATCCCTTTTTGAAACATGATCTAGGTGCAATTCTTTTCGGGATAAGTTCCTTTTCACTCCATCCATAAATTGATATAGATATAGTCAGATTCTGTTTCTCGAACTTTTCTATTGTATCATTATCAGCTCTTACTGGAAATTGTATCCCTTCAAAATTTAACTTACCTAAGTGGGGGGTATACCAAGAAACTCGTTCTCGATGATATTGTGCTGGAAATAGTTCTGCAAGATTACAATATTCAAAGCATCGATCATCCTCATTTTGGATATTGATAATTCCATTATTTCGTTTTGGTATTCCTTTAGGTAATGGGAGATGAGAACTAGCTGTTAATGGAACATAGATTGGCATCTCAATATTGACTTCTCCTGATTCTACATAATACCAACCTGAGCCTTCATGGACATATACTTCTATTCGATTTTCAATATCCCAAATAAGTTCATCTACAATTCTTGGGATGTCTTCCTTAGCAGTTACTACTACTGCTTTATTTTTGAAGGGAACTTCTTTATAATCTTTTTCTTCATCATTGTCTTCTGCAAATGTTTCATCTTCAAACAATCCCTGCTGATAATTTGTTGATCGACTCATTTTTCCTGTGAGACATAATCGGGTCTTGAATCCATGTGTTAAATCAAAGCGATCATTGAAAATATTTATTATTTGTTCCCTAAGTGCATCGAGAGTATTGATAGGGTCTTGAGAATATATGCTTTCTTTTCCCATCTTAACTGAATAATGGTCATCCAATAGTTCACATCCAGAACTAATAATATCCGTTTGATGAAATTGTGGAATGGATTCTAATATCCCCAATGTTTCGAGATATTCTCTTTCAGCTTGTGGGGATGGAATAGGCTCAATAATTTCTGGAGGATCAAATAATCCCAATGCATCGAGATATTCTATTTCTGGATTAGGTGGAGGAGCAGGATTTTGATTAGGAGACGGAACTGCTAAGTGGCATGGATTTTTATTACTAGCATAATGTTGACGAAGTTTTTGTGGTGATGAAAGATGGTGACCACAAAAAGCACACGTTGTATTTTTTTTATCTTTTCTAGTCATAGTATATAATTGATTTATAATATATTACTTATATAAAATCTTT